AGCTTTTGAATTTCCTCTTTTCATTTTAAATTTATGGCCTCAGTATGACATTACCAGAGTTTATTGCATTTTGCAGGTGGCATTCATATGTTGTTATACTATGTGCAGTATATTGTGGGAAATGGGTTACAATTTTTTGTTAAAAATTTCCAGAACCACACAAGTACTTCTTAATTAGACTTGCAAATGTGTAATGCCTTTCTTCAAGGGGGGAAAATAGTTAAGACATTACAGGAATTTTTGTGTTTTTTTTCCCCTTAGTTAATAGTGGGGAAAGTTTGCAATAAAATTTGCTTTTTGAAACCTTGACATTTTTTAGTAAGTTCTGATTTACATATGAAGTCATCATCTGACAATTCCAAACAAATGTCTTTTCAAATCAAACCATTATTTTTGTCTGTGTGCTTGTGGCTCAAAAAGGGTTGAACAGATTTATCTTGCCTTCTGCCATTCAAAATAGTGGAAAGTTGTAATCTCAACTGCATTATAAAAATCTTGAATAATTTAATGATAGGTTTTAATAATTTAATAATTACCACCTTAATTATAGATTTCGGTGGTTACAAACACTACCTACAAATCACCTACACTTTCTCCAAAAAATCATGTTTAAAGAAAAATAAGCTAGAGGTAATACCATAGATAATGTTAACATATAAAGTAGAAAAATAAAGCATGAAGTTATACAATTTTAGATAAAATCTCTATACTATTTCTCAGACACAGTAAGAGCTGGAAGCAGAGTCAATTCCTATAAACATGTTTTTAGACCCAGATTGACCCTTAACTTAGTTCCAGGAGAGTTCAAAATTCTTAGCATTTATTCCCATGGTAGATGTCCATTTCATATTCAATATGCAAATTTTAAAAAGCTTTCTAGTGATTTCATCTGGCATGTAAGTAAAGATCTTGAATTTTTTTAAAGCTACATGATGTTTGGTGATAAAATTTTGTATTTATGAGTATTAAATTATGCCAAAAAAGCCATTTACTTGATATTCTTTAAATACCATAGCACAATTCAACCAAAGCTCAGACTGTAAACCATCTTAAATAACACTAATGCAATGTGCACATAATGAACAGTATAACTAACTTAAGTTAATTTTCATGTAACAGATAACATCTGGGGGAAACGTATATTGGTGAGTTATGCAAAACTAATTTTCTAGCAACCACATCTGTAGATGTTATTTATTGTAGGCTCACTTAAAAGTCCATTATTCTGTTTAGAAATCTATTCTCTTCTTTATTAGACCTTTTAATGTACTCACCTTGGTTCAAATGGTCTGCTCATTATCAGAAAAAAATATAAATGGAATTCACATGGAACAACATGATTCTTTTTATTATATCCATTTGTGTGCGAGCATTCAAAAATGGCAAGAGAAACACATTTATTGCTTTACATTCAAATATTTAGGGGGTATTTGAAAGTCAAGCAAAACCAATTATTTGGCCCAATGGATGGATGTGTATAATCAGAAACTTCTGATTTTTAATCTCAGCATTAGGCCTCAGGCAAGTCACTTAAAGTCCTTCGCTTTGTTTCCTGATCTGAAGATTATCGGTGCTATTCTCATATAGAAAAAGGGAGGTTGCTAAATCAGGGTACCAAACAGGAATGTTTTTTTAATAAACATACTTGATCCTTTTTCTGTTTTTATTTTTCCAGATTTAAGAGGTAACATATTAGATTTTTGAGGGAAAAAAATGAGACAATTACAATTCTACAGGAATGTATAAAAATAGTTATAAAACTAGCTTTATTTAATTTGCTTCAACTATTCATAGACTTGAGGAAATTATAACGTTCTTTCAGAAAATCTAACTTAATAAAGCTGACCATGTCTCTCTGTTTTAAATAGATTTTATTACAGAACCAGTGATGTTGTAAAACATGAGGTTTTGTTAAAAAAATACAAAGGCCTAATTGTATTTTTTTAAAGAAAGTATTGCATCAGAGGGTTTTATTTAAACATATTTGCTGGCTCTGTGCTCTCGCCTCAATTATTGATTCTTAAACTTGTTTTTTTAAAAGGCTACCATTTTTAATGGAGGGGAAAAAATCATTGTGATGCACAATTATTGATTCTAATTTTCCTTAAACTTGTTTTTTTAAAAGGCTACCATTTTTAATGGAGGGGAAAAAATCATTGTGATGCTTCTGGGCATTATGTTTATTTCAAACTCTATATTTGACAGTGTACCTTATTATTATAAATGAAAAGACTTTCTACTTACCCTCATCTGAAATTGGGACATTTCTTTCCCTTACAGTACCTCACTAACATAACTAAATGTAATTCTTCATGAAAGAGAAAAAACATAGCTATGGTTTGAATCCCTAATCTTATGCGAAACACCCTGAGGAAAAGAAATTCTCACCCCCAGTTTTTGTGCGCAAATTAAATCGAATCAATAGCTCTATGAGCTACACTCTTAAAAATCAAGGAAAAGAAAAGCTCAACTCTCAGTCAAAACTTCAGGTTCTCAGGATAAATGAGATTTTTCAATCCACTAAAGAAATGATGATGCGGAGCTGAAAAGTTCAAGTTTCCAAGTCTGTGCCCAGTAGACACACACACACACACACACACACAGCCAACGACCAGGAAACTGGGTAGTTGGCAAGTAATTCGGATGAGCTTTATAAAGAAATCCAAACCACACGGGTGAGGGATAAAATGAGAAACTTGAGCACAAATATCTGCTTGTATTTAAATGTATAATCTGATGGGGCAAAGGGTAAAAGTGGGCAGAAACTGCTACGACCTGGATGGAGAGGCGATCTATTGAGAACTTCCACCAGGGGATGAGGGGAGATTAGCAGAAAGGCATAGCCTGCGTATGGAAGAGCATAGCAGCAAGACAAACTTGATGACAGCAGATGAGATAAAATTCTGCTTCAGTAAAAGAAAATACTTTTACCTTGAAGATTAGTTCATGCTCACTTTTTCAGTGCCACAGTAAATTCCGTAAACTTCATTTAATTCCTTTCTCTTCTTTTCAATGTCTTACCTATTCCCCAGCCCCCCCAAACTTTCTATATCTCACTCTATATTAAAGTCTGTGCCACTAAGTAAATACCCCATCTTCTTCCCTTGTCCTGTTTCCCATGTGCAGCTCATTTATTTTATCTATAATGTTTCAGAGGACACTAAAATATACTTAACTGTCTTCTTTCTATAGCTTGGTAAAATAAAGAGCAATAGAAGGTGTGGGAGGGATGAAAAACGACAGTGGTAAAAAAAGGTACAAATAATTTGGGGAAAGATAAATTCCTGTAAACCCCATTTAGGGAAAAAAGCAATGGCTTATGAATGTGTTGAGAAAAAATAATTGTTCTGATATGTTTTCTCTATAATCTATTTTGAATAATATTTAGTTGAATTAAATAATCTCGAATCATATCATGTAACAGAATAAAAATTTAGTGCTTAATAATATCAATAATTTCCAAGTATGGCAACTTGATGACCTTTTACAGTTTACTGAAAACTGCCTAAGCCAAGAAGTCAGGAAATCAGGGTGTAACTCCCTGTCCTGTCACTAAGCAATGATCTGACCTTAGGCCAAGCATGTAACTTCTTGGTTTTCAAATCCCTTGTCTACAAAGCTAGGACCTTCAATTCTTCTATATATTTACACTAAGCAGCAACTTCCCATAAAATCCTGTCAAAATTAATAACATGAATTCAATGTAAAATACATACACATTGGTAAGACCAAGAAATAACTTAGCTTTCAGTACATTCCAAAACCTATCTAATTCAAAAATGTTGGTATTTAAATGGTGAAATATAAAGTATGTAAGGTTATTTGAAATATTGTGCAGAAGTTAGGAATGAACGCGTGATGATTTCACAATTTTTTTCCAGGGTCTGACTTTGTCAGCATACAGTGGTGGTTTCATCTCAGGGCCACAATAACAAGCTCATGAGAGTTCACTGTATCAACTTGAACAATTTATTGATTTACTATGAGGAATGTAATAGGCATGAAAACCGTAACACTCAAGTGCACGTCTTTGCAGATCAATTGAGATGGGAAATCAAATTAGGATCAAAATGTTGCTTGTTAAACA